TGAGTGGCCTCTTATATGTGATGTGAATAGTTATGCAGGACCCAAGAACACAATGCTCGCCAAGGAGCTGCTTTTGGACAATTTCATCCACACCGATCAACGGTGCCTATTTTCACGTTGGTCACATGGTCCTTCTTAGTGGTCTTCTCTTTGGAAAAACAGAGGCGCCCCATATAGTTCAGCACGGCTTGAGTTTACAGCCTGTGTGTATGTGTCTGTTTTTTGTGTGTTTTATGTATTCATGAGTTTTTGTGTATTCATGTTTGTGGTGCGTCTTTGTGATTTATGCGTTTACCTGAGCGTTTGTATGAGAGTATGTGTTTGTGGTGTGTGTTTGTGTGCTTCTGTGTGCATATGTACGTCTGCCCATGGGTGTTTGTGAGTATGATGGGCAGCGTGGCACGTTCAATGGGGATGCCTGGTGGGCTTGCCCCATCTCCCTATAGATGTGGCAGCAGAGCAGGGGGCTCTGGGGAGTAGCCTGGGGCCTGGTGACCGACTGTGGGGTGAGGAGCGCAGAGGGAGACACGGGCAACGGCCAGGCTTTTGGCTCAAAACACCAAGTGGCTTATGATGTTGTCATGGAGACAGCATCACTGGGCAGGGGCAGGTTAGGGTGTGAGGTCAATCAAAGCTGGGCCAAGCTGAGTTGAGGCACCTGAGGCACGTACGTGCAGATGTCTGTCTCGATATTTGGGGAGTCTGGGCATTGGGCATGGAGCCCTGGGGATGCCCGCGTCTAACAGACACGCAGGGGCCCGGGCTGGTACAGGCCGGGGGTCAGGGGAGAAACTGAGGGAGAGGAGACACAGGGAAGGGCCACTGCATCAGCATTGCCAAGAGGGATGGCCTTGGTGCCGAGCGGGGCAGAAGGCGGTCTAGGTGGGTGGTGGGGGAAGAGGCGGCCGGCCATCAGCAGGGACAGCTGCTCTGGGGCCCCAACCGCAGCCACCCCCGCCCTCCCCAGCTTCCATTCCCTCCGCGCAGTCCAGGAAGGGGAGGGCTGAGGAAGCAAGCGGCCAGGCTGGGCTGCCTGAATGAAAGCTCCAGGGGCCTTGGCACACATTGGACCCTCTCCTTTGATTCTCAGGCTGTTCTGGGGCTTAATTAATGAATAGCTCAGGGGCACCCCTCTCCCTATTCAGAAACGATTCCATGGAAACTTCTCACAGGTTCCTTCGGCAGGCTCTGGCTAATGGGGCCGCCCCTCCAGGCTGTAACGGCCCCGCTGGGTTCCCAGCATGTTAATGGATGGTGCTGGCCTGAGGCCATCATCAGCCAGTGCCCCAGCCAGGAACGGGGACCTATTCCTCCTCCTCATTCAATGTCCTCAGCCCAGCAGCAGTGCTGAAAGGAACCCGGAACCGGATTCTGACATTTCCCCCCATATTCCCTGGCGACTTTTGAAGAACCTCATATTTAAAGTCATCTTGGCAAGGGTCTGGGGGTAAGTTGCAGTAAGAGACTGTAAGGACTCCTTGTGGGGAAGGCTGAGCACTGCTTTCAGACCGACAATTCCCGAAAGCCAAAAGCCAGTGGCAGGAGCGGGGAGGGGGCGTGCGTAGGTCTGTCTGCATGCATACCTCCATATCCACGTGTTTGTCTATGCCTGCTGGCTGGGGGCCCGAAGCTGGACCTCACTCCACTCTCTCACCAGCTCTAGCTGAGACGCCCACCCCTGGAGGCTCTGGGGAGAATGCACGGGGGCGGGCTCGTGGCCAGGGAAGGGGTCTGCCGTGCCCTGCTCTCCGACGCTGTGCAGACTCGAGGCCCAGGCCGCTGCTTGACAAAGCATGAAGCCTTCCGAACAGGCCAGCTGCCCACGAGACCCAGGGTGATAGGGCAGGAGGTGGGCTCGGGCAAATGCTGGAAGCCGCTGACATGTCCTTGGAGGGCCTTCCAGCAGATTCCAGGGGCCCTAAAGGCCCAGCAAGCAGCTGCGTGCAAGCAAAGCCGGGTACTGCACAATCCTGGCAAGCGGTATCCCCAGAGAGCAGCTGTCTCCCGTCACCGGGTGGTGGGATTCCTGTCCACAGTTCCTTCCCTGCTCCTCAGGTGAAAGGTGAATGGAATTTGGGGAAATGCACTGGGCCGGCCTGGAAGAGGAAGTGGCGAGGCGAGAGGGGGCAGCTGCGGGGTGGCGGTAGGGCCCCTTCCTTCCAGCAGGCCCTCAATGCCCGAGCTGGTGCTGCCACCCAAGCGATGGGCCAGAGACCCAGGAAAGGCATGTTTCTCAACCACATCGGCCGCTGAGTTTGCACAGTGTGGGTGACAGCGTCACTCCCCTGGGGGCCATTAGAAGCAGTAGGATTTATGGGGCAAACGAGACAAGTACCTGTAAAACCACCGTAATTGACCAAGGCCAGTCCTGAGTAGCACAGACTGAACCCGTATCCCGTCCAAAGACTCACGTACGCACGCCGCGTAAGGTAGGAGTAATTCTAATAAAAACGCTGAGGATTTGCAGATTCTCCTGAGCCACCCGACAGTGTTAGGATCCCCCCTGGCTTTTAAGTACACTGGCCTGGCTGGGATCTGTGGCTAGTGGACTGCTGGGAACTTGGCGAGGTCGCCCGCTGGACCCCCGGTCCTCAGAGACATCCGTGAGCCCTGTGACAGCAAACCCTGCTCTGAAACCAGAGCGGGGGCTTGGAATGAGCTCAGGTGGGTTGTACGGAATTCAAATTGCGTTCAGACCCTGAAGGGTAGCGGGCTTCCTTCAGCGGGTAGTTATTTCTTGAAATCCCAACAAAGCCCTGCTGCTGTGCTCACCCTGGTGGACGAGCTAGGCTGGCCTCACGCAGGTGTTCTTGGGGGACAGAGGGCTCTGGCCAGAAGGGCCAGGACACAACACAGGTGGCAGCACAGCCAGGGCCGGTGTCTGTTCCACAGACCCCCTCTTAGCTCAAAGAGGAAGAGCAAACAAATGGGACTGCCCCGTCCCTTGGAGGCCTGCGGGGCTCCGCCCCTCCTCCCTGCTGGGGGCGCCTCCTGGCCCGCAACCCCCTCCAGGGTCACTCTGCAGAGACACCCGCAGCTGCGCTCCCTGAGAACCGCCCACCTCCTGGCTTGCCACACGCATGTGCCTCACGTCTGCCCACGGTTCGGCCCACACACCAGCTGGTCCTGCCCCGTGGTCTTCTCACCAGCACCCGCTCCTCCTGCCCCTTCTCCTCAGCCCACGCTTGCTGGGTGGGTAGGAGCTGAGGGCTGCAGAGGCCACGGCATGGCCTGGACTCATGTGTCATTGGCCAGCACCTTCAGACAAGTGACACAACGCTCCGTCCCTGGCTCCGGGGCCGGGGTCTCCCCAACGTCCTGGTGACAGGAACAGCATCTTGAAGGCCAGGCCAGGTCAGCAAGCATCCTGGGCAGTGGCCCCGTGGTCCCCGAACCACACTGCTTTGGGAGGGTGGGCGGTCGCAGCCTGGAGCCCCACCCCTGCGGCCAGGGTGCCGGCATGTGCTCTGCCCTGGAGAGTGACTGTGGCCTCCCTGGTCAGCCAGGACCGGGCACTTGGAGGGTACCTGGGATGGAGAGGCAGCAGCTTCTCAGAGCCCAGCTACCTACACAGACTGATGGTAAATGGTTCTGCAGCTGGGGGTCCCGGCTGACGTATAGGTGCCATGACAACCTGGGCAAAGTGAGCCATGCATGCCCCCGGGCCTCCCCCCAGAAGGGCAGTGACCTGTGTCTCTGGGGTGCCCAGGGCTTTCCGGCTGGATCCCCTTCCCCTCTGTCTCGTGGGCCTCAGCGGGGCCTGGCCCCAGGGTGAGTGACACAGCGGCCGCAGTTCCTCAGGGCCCCTCTGCAGCCGTGGAGCCCCAGCCCCACACCCAGGCCCTGCAAGCGCGCCGGTGCCCGGGGTTCTCCACGGGACCTGCGGGGTGACAGAGCTGTGGGGCAGGCCATCCTGCAGAGGCTGTGCGTGGTGGACATCAGCTCCAGTCACGGCCTGAGGCGCATCAGTGACCGAGGCAGCTTTGAGACTGTTGGTTTTTACTAGATCAACAGCGTTGCACCCAAGTGCATAGACAAGTGTACACATTCGCAGTTCTCTGTGGTATTTCCTTGGAAAACCCCAAGTACAGGGGCTGACCTTGTCTTCTCAGCCCCGCCCGCCGGCCAGGCCCCTCTGGCCATGGCGCACAGGCCGGCCCGAACGCAGCGCGCAGCCGCCCCTGCCCTTCTCCAGAGCGGGCCTGGTTCTCTGGACCCAAGGCAGGGATGTCCCTTTGACCTGAGCCCCCGAGGCCATGGCTCCTCAGAGGAAGAGTGGGCAGGAAGGCCGTTGTTGGCATGAGGGGTGGGAGCTGCGTCCTGGGAGCCAACGGCCGCGGGCCCCACCTTCACCACCACCCCCCTACCCCCCGAGCTCGACCCGCCCCTGAGCTCCGAGCCTGCTGCCCGCAAGGGTGGTCCAGTCCCTGGGGAGCGCACCCCACAGACGCCACAAGCCAGGGCCAGCAACAGATTCAGTCAAGTTACCAATCAGTCCAGTGGGAGAAAAAGAGAAAAGAATCGACGAGGCAGCCCATGACTGAACAAAGAAGAAAAGCTAAACAATCAAGCGTTCCAGCTGAATTTTTCTAGACCCGCTGTGGGAACGGAACCTAGCTGAGGAGACCCCTCCCACTGGGGGATGGCGATGCAGAGCGCCCCCCGCCACATGCCTAGCTGGTGCGGGAGCTGGAAGCTTCCTGACCATGGGGAGGATGGCCTGAGGTTCCCCAAGGAGACCATCATGCTCCCCCAGGGGCGACCTCAGAAGGGCTCCAGGGGCCACCCTTGGTCCCAGCAAGAGCGAGCTTTCTAACGTCAGACACCTGACCTCGGGGACATGGGGCTCTAGAGACTCTTGAAATGCCACCCAAGCCAGAGGCTCCCCATGTCACCATCAGCAAGGGCTGATCTCGCAAACAAAGGGCAAGACTCAGCTTCTGAGTGAGCTTTGTGCAGCAGAGGCCGGGCCGTGGAGCTGGGGTGCACACGCGGCAAGGGCTCACGGGCTCCCCGCTGCCCCTTCCTCGGGCCCTGGGGACAGCCGGCCCCCCTGCAAGTCTCAAAATTCCACCAGACTCCCTCCTGGGCATAGCAGCTCATGGGGACAGCGCCCTGGGGAGGTGGGGACGATGGCAGATGAGGGTCTGTGTGGAGAGGCACAGGAAGGAGCAGCCCGAGGAGCCCAAGCCTATCTTGGGGCCCTGACATCTTCATGTCCCATCACGGGGGGTGGGGAGAGCCTGCCCTGCACAGGCCGGTCACGTCCCTCTCTTCCGGAAGGCATGGCCCCAGCATGTCCAGCCTGACCTACTTACTGGGTGGAGGTCAGGGCACATGGTGTCGGAGAAGATGCTGGCAGGCAGAAGGAGGTATTGCTGGGCGGCTCCACACAGAGCCGCTCTTCCTAGCTCAAGGCCAACGGCAGCCAGGAAGCCGCCACCCGGAGCGTGTGTTTGCCCGGCTCGCGGCTGCCTCCATCCCGGACACACATGTCTATCTGGCTGACCCTGAAAACCAGCCCAGACATGAAGCAAAGGCTTCAGGATTCCTACACAAACCGCCACACAGGCGGCAAAACCACACTGAAGAGAAAAGCCCAAGAGAGTGCTGAGCTGTGGACTAGGTAGTTCTTGCCTAACAGGATAAATCACTTTCCAATTCTGGTCACTATGTCCTCTAGAGCGCACCTCATCCTCAAAACCCTGAGCTCCCCCGCGGAGCCGGCACCGCGCGAGGACCCAGGGCTGGCCTACGGTGGGGTGGTGGCCTTCCTCGTGGGCAGCAAAGGAGCCACGACAATCTCATCTGAGTCATCGGAGCTGCTGTCATCTGCGGGCGGAGGCTCCGTGGGCTGGGGCTGGGGCTGGGGTCGTGGTCCTGAGGGAGAGGGCGGCCCTGCAAGGAAGCAGAGGAGGCTGTCACCCCAGTGGCTCAGGGTGGGACAGACCTTCAGAACTGTGTCTCAGCCGCCACAGAGCCACCTCGGCTGCCAAGCCCAGCTCTGAACATGCTGGCCATCTCCAAAAGGCCAACACCTGCAACAGGTGAGGGCTGGCCGGCGGGGAGCAAGGGGCGCGGGCGGTGCTCCGATTCTGGGGCCGGGGTGGGGCTGTGACCTGCGGGCAGCCGGGGCCGGCGGCCACCAGAATGGGTCAGAGCCACCTTCCTCGAGACTCAGGCCTCCAGGCGGGGGAGGCAGGCAGGACCAGGGGATGCCCAGGGAACGCCGTGAGCTTCCCAACAGACACCCCCCACACCCCGCTTTCTTCAGCACAGCTGACTTCCCCAATCCTCAGTCCACCTTCACCCTGGATGTGGGCTCGGTGGTGAGGGAGGGAGGGGGGAAGGCAGGGGGGCGCCTAGTCACAGGAAAGGCCGCACTCAGACTGCTTGGGGACATGGCAGTCACAGGGCGGCCGGGCGCTGACTGCGCTAAGGAGGGCAGGACACAACACAGCTGCTGGCAGTCATGGGACTGGTCAGCTGTCCTCTGGGACTTCTGAGGGAACTATTAAAGGAGAGCCTCAGGACACTAAAAAACCTGTTTTCAAGCTTATCTTCAGTTTTTTCCTCTACAAACACTGGCACTGTTGGAACACACATGGGCTGGTCCCACTTGCCCTGCAGGCTGCCCTGGGGGCAACCAAGAGCAGTGAATTCTCACGGGGCTTTGCGGCAACCTCTGGGCAGGGCACGGGGCTACCCCCTGAAGATGACACATGCTCAGCAGGAGGAAGAGGTTGCCTACGCGGTGACAGTCACCAAACGTGCGGTTGGGCAAAATCAGCATGAAGCTGGTTTCTGCAGGACAACGTGAGCTTTGGGGAGCCCGGAGGTTCTAGATGACAGCCCCTCAGGCTCTGCGGGCTCTGGTCACCTGCACCTCATGTCCTCCCTGCTCACCTGCACGTCCTCCCCGAATGCCTATGTGTCCTCCCTGCTCACCTGCACGTCCTCCCTGCACACCTGTGCATCCTCCCTGCACATCTGCACGTCCTCCCTGCACACCTGTGCGTCCTCCTCGCACACCTGCACGTCCTCCCTGCACACCTGCGTCCTCCCTGCACACCTGCACGTCCTCTCTGCACACCTGTGCGTCCTCCCTGCACACCTGCGCGTCTTCCCTGCACACCTGCACATCCTCTGCACACCTGTGCGTCCTTCCTGCACACCTGCACGTCCTCCCTGCACACCTGCGCATCCTTCCTGCACACCTGCACGTCCTCCCTGCACACCTGCGCATCCTTCCTGCACACCTGCACGTCTTCCCTGCACAGCTGTGTCCCCCCTGCTTCCCCCGGAGCTGCTCATGTTCGCTCCTTGAACTTTATACGTGAAGCTTGTGAAGCAAACACCAACGTCACAGGTCGCAAACTCTGACAGGCTAGACAGGGAGTGGGGACCTTCAGGTCAGACAGGGCATCGAACTCTCAGCTCATGCAGGAGATCCTCCAGGACCCAGCCCCAGAAGGGACGGGCTGGCCAGGCCTCCCATCCCCAGCCACGGCCTCCCCCACTCACCAGAGCAGGGCGCCAGGGCTGCTGGTTTCCCTGGCCCCCATGGCCCTGGTGCCTCGTCCTCAGCCGCCGGCCCCTCCACGATCTCCCCGCTGCTCGTGTCGCTGTCCTCCTGACCTGAAACAATGCGCACACTCCAGGCGCCCGCCCTGCACGGAACTGGCAGCGGACGTGGACAGGGCTCGCCACCTCCTCCTGTCTCTCCACCCCAAAGGGCTTTGGCTCAGAAATCTACTTCCTGTTGTAGTTTGTCCTGAAATGAAGCACCGCTCCCCACCAGCACCTGTCCTTCCCGGATTCCATCTGTGCAACTGAGAAGCTCGGGACGTAACAACCCTCCCCATGAGCAGCGCATGGTGACTGTGTGGCATCCTCACACCCAAGACCTCAAGATGTATTTCTGGGTCCAAGGGCAGCATCAAAGCTCACAACATGACCTCCCTGATATCTCCAGCAGCGGTACCGAGAGTGCGAGTGAGCAGCATGGAGGGAGGTTCCCAGCCAGCATAAGGGGCTGTCGGACTCGCGGGGGCCCAAGAAATGCTCTGGTGGCCTCGGGCGGGTCTCCACCTCACTCAGGACGACTTAGGGCCCTGCCCGGGACCCCACATCAGCTGCCGGGCAGAGCAGGGACTGGGCCTCACAGCTGGGGTGCGGCACCCCTGCCAGGTCCTGAGATTTCTGCACTGTTTTCTACCCTAATGAGGTGGAAAAGCAAATACCAACAAAGGTTCACTCAAAACCAACACACAGGAAAAGCACTGGCCCTAGGGAAGGAAACCACACGGCTGCAGTAGAGCCAAGAACAAAAGCCAGAGACATACAAGCCATGAGGCTCCAACTGTGTGGCCCGTAGCTGCCTGGATGCCGCCATGATGGACCGGCCAGCTGCCTCCCATGGGCTTGCCTTTCCCTGCAGCCTGAGGGATGCGGGACGAAGTCGTGTGTGGGAGGCTCGGTGGAGGCATCTCCCTGCCGATGGCCTCGCTCCATGGATGGGGGTCAGGCCCCCACGCGTGCCCACACACCCCAGGGCAGTGGCCACTCCTTGCTCAGAGCTGAGTGCCCCAGCCACCCTTCGTGTGGAAATTCAAAATGAAATGAAATTACCAGGAGAAGCAGGGCAGGGTGCAGCCGGCAGCTGGCAGGGGCTGGCCAGAGCGGGACTCCTCCTCCTAGAAGCCGCTGCAGCGGTTCTCGGGCTGGAAGCACTGGAAAAAAGAGAGAGACTGGCCGCTTGGACTTCACAGACTGCCCCCATAGCCTGGGTGCCCAGCGGGACTCACGGAGGCACCAGAGGGCAGCAGAGCCGGCACAGGTGGGCTGCAAGGGACACAGGGGGTGCCCTCTATCAGACTCTCGGGCACACACCAAGGTCAGACCTCAGACACCTTCCTCTCCCAGTCTCTCGTGCCCACTGCCATCTCCCTGGACATGGCCACCGGCTGTGCGACTCTCCCTGGACTGGCCAGGGCTGGCGGCACTGTGAGGGACCCTGACCTGCGCCATGCCCCGGCCGTCCCAGCTTGTCCAGAACTGGGACCGTGAGAGTCTGCCTCCACCGCTCTCCTCTGGCAGAGAGGTAGCAGAGACTGAAAAGTGATGTGTGGACTGGGAAATAGGGGAAGCCTGAGCCGCCTGCCCTCACACCACCCCTCCACCCCCGGAGACACGCCCCTCGCCTCAGGGCAGATCCCACTCTGGCGGAGTCGACCTGGATGGGGTCTGAGTCTCTGCGGCTTTGGCCCCAGCAGGTGAGAGCGAGTGTGAGCTGCCGTGCGAGGGGCCTGACAACACCCATGTCCCCCTGAATGCTGGGGGGTGCATCACTTTTTTTTTTTTCAAAGGGTGGTGTGTTAGGACAAGCAAGCCACCTTATAGACGGTGGGGACCAGAACCACACGGTGTGTAAGCCCTTCTGCTGGTTTTCCGCCGGCATGAGGAACCGTTCCAGGAAGGCCCCTCCGAGGGCCAGAACTAGTGGGCTACCCCACCTGCAAGTGCGGGAGGGACCCTGCACAGGCGTTTGCGCTTGGTGACTCGCCAAGGTCCTGGCTGCCATACCCCGCGCGGGTGCACTCTGGGCTGCCCTTGTCATCAGGCACCTTCCTGCACTGCATCCCAGGGACACAGGACAGTGGTGGCCTGACAGTTGGATTTACCTGTGCCCGACACGTGCCAGGTGTGCCCGGAGGACAGACTGGATGGTGGTAATGGCCTCTTCCTGCCCTGGGTCATCCTCGGCCTGGACGGCAGGGCTTGGAACATGTGGTGGCAGAGGGTCCTGGGGGGACACGACAGTGGGGAAGAGAGCCCTTTGGGAGCCTCTGCCCACCTCCCGGGTGTGGCAGGGCCCCCGCCCAGCCCCCAGAGAGTCAGGTGAACGCAGCCCCATTCCAGGGAGCCTCCTGACACTCAGACTCTAAGAGATTCTTAAAATGAGTGTCTGGCCATTTTTGCAGAGGAGGGACGGATCTAGAAAATGCTTATCTTAATGCTTCCATCTTTACTGTGAGCTGGGCATGCTGCCTAGTGCGTGAGCACCTCCAAGTAATGTGGCTCCCGGAGTTAAATCCATCCGGCGCCTGCACCACGGGCTCCGCCGCCGGGCCCCACGTGGTCCCCACGACAGCAAGGCGCCAGGGAGGACACGCACACTGCGATGCTGTGCTGCCCCAGCTGATGGGCCACGAGACGGGACATGGAGAGAGGGCAGGTGGCGCCCCTGCTGCGTCTGGCCCCCCCAGGGTTACCTGGCTGGGCGAGCTGGGTGGGCCGGGGGATCCTGAAGCACGCGCCTGGCTTGACAGTAGCTTCACCCGTGCTAGGTGTCCCCTGAAAGCTGCCTGGAGCACTGTAGCCGCCTGGCGGGAATGAGGGAGGGAGGGAAAGAGAGGTTAACTCCCTTGTGCAGAGGACAGGGTCTTGAGGGAAAAACTCTACCAGCGGAGAAAACTACGTCTCTCACTATGCCACCCGCCAGTGCCTCCTGCAGGAAGAGCCACCCCCACCGCCCGCAGACAGAGGCACCCGCGTCCCCTCCCACAGTAAACCGAGTCCTCCGTTAAATGCCGTTCCGTTTAGCGGCCAGTATTTGTCCGTATTTTACATGCAGGTATGTTTCCATGTTGGGCAGTCAATCCCATGCCACGTGATTTCCATACACATCTTCCAAAACCAAGCGGGGCAGACGTGGTCTCAGACTGTTGCCAAGGAATTATCTACCCTCTGACCTTAATTGTAAGTGGTTTCTATCTGGATGCTCTGTTAAGTCCTGAGATCAGTGTTCTGGACTCTGGGGGCAGCCCTGGCTGGACATGTCACAGCGTGAAAGGGGTCGAGCTTTTTTCGCATCTCAGGGGAGTGCCACATGAGCACATGGGGGCCTGACTCGTCATGTGTCCAGAGGGCATGACCTTCCAGAATCACGGTCACTAGGAGGAACACCATCACTTTGTTGTTACAGGAAGCAGGGTGAAGGAGATGTTCTGAACGTGGGGTTCAGAAAGTGGCCCAACAAAGCCTGGAGAGAGAACCCTCGTTCGGGCAAATTCGAACAATCAGGTACATGTGTAGACAGACCCAGGGGGCTCGCTGCCCACAGACAACCTGGGGCAAGGGCTCACTATAGGTGACACAAGCTGGGGCGACGGCTGCTGTCGTCATAGCCACCAGAATCTGGCAGAAGCCCAGCCGAGCCGCAGCCCCACACAGGGGTCCTGTCATCGCCTTGCCTGAGGAGGTGAGGACATGAAGGCCTGGGGGGACCCCGGGGGACCAGCAGCAGAACACAACAGTGCATGCCAGCTGGCTGGCTGGCTGAGAAAGACGCTACACGGTCCTTCGAGGAGTCCCCAGCTCACCCACTCACCCACTCATCCCACAAATATTTGCTGAATGCTGACCATGTGGCAGGCACCATCTAGGAACCGTGGATACAGCAGTTTAAGAACAGAAGTGGGACTTACATAAATTGCAACAGGAGACAAGCAATTTAAAACAAGCAAAATATCAAAACATCAAGGACGGATAAAAGCTACAAAAAGAAATAAAGCAGGACCCGGGGCTGGAGTGATGGCTGGCACGGGGTATTCAGAGAGAGGGTCTCTGAGGACGCAACATTTCCTGTGTAAAGCGGAGGGGGCGGGGCCAGGCATGCAGGTGTCTGGAGGAAGAGCCATCTAGGCAGAGAGAGCAGCCAGTACAAAGGCCCTGTGGCAGGAGTAAGCTTGGTATTTCCAAGGAGTCCCAAAGAAGCCTCCAGACTGGCTAGAGGAGAATGAGCAGGGCTGAGGGGTGGGGGTGGGCATCCAGGGTGTGTGGCATGGAGGATCTTTAGGCAATAGCTTTGGCTCTTGTTTCAAGTCTGGGAGCGAGTCATGAGCAGTGGTGGGTGTTACTTAACACTGAAAACATGCCGTGCTGGAGGCTGCCTGGGGAACAGGCTGAGGGAGGGCACGGCAGCGCGGCAAGGAGCCTTGTGGGTCCCCGTGCAGTCCAGATGGCTGGAGACTCCGTAGGGTCCCAGCACCCATCACAATGCATTCTGCTGCTCACCAGACCTGCTCTCCTCCCAGGCAAGCTGCACTCCTGTGTACACCGTCTTCTGCCAGCAGCCCTTCCCTCTTAGCCTGGGAGCCTGCACGTCCTCCAGACCCGGGGCCAGGCCTTCCTGAGAGCCCTAACACAAGCCTTGCCATCCTGGCCTGCAGGGACCTGTCTCCACACCTTTCTGAGTCCCGAGGGCCCGCAAGATCACTGGACCCAAACTGATGACCGAGAAAGGTGTGTTGAAAAATCACTGAGTGATCGAATGACTCCGAACGTGGAAAGTTATACAAATAGTCATCGGGCACTGGGGTCACCCGGTCTGGTGGGTTTCACGAAAACAAGGCATCGACACATTCTACCGTGACCTCGCTCTAGTGCAAGAATATGTATTGGAGGGATGCCTGGGTGGCTCAGTGGGCTAAAGCCTGTGCCTTTGGCTCAGGTCATGATCTCAGGGTCCTGGGATCGAGCCCCACATCCAGCTCTCTGCTCCACAGGGAGCCTGCTTCCCTCCTCTCTCTGCCTGACTCTCTGCCTACTTGTGATCTCTGTCAAATAAATACATAAATAAAATCTTAAAAAAAAAAAAAGAATACGTATTGGAAACAGGTGACATAAACCTCACTTACCTCAGTCAGAACAGCCTTTTTTTTCTGAAATAAAGAGACAGATTATGAATTAACACGAGGATGAATTTTTCACAATACGGCATTTGTGTTCTCATCCTGGCCCTGCCACCGTCTCCACAGATGGAAAGCAGAGCCGGGGTACCAGGGCGCACCCCTCACTGAGAGTCTGTGGAGGGCTCTGGGGTCCCCGTTCTCCCCTGCCTGGCAGACAGTGCAGCGGGAGCCAGCAGCTATAACCAGATGGCCAGGCTTCTCCGGGCGAGCCACAGTTAAAGACGAGCCTCGTTGCTGGCGCCCACGCCTCTCAGCCAACCTGCGGCAGCTCTCCAGGAGACATGACCCACGAGTACCACAGTGGGCACTTGTCTTCAGCCCCACGTGAGGAAGCCCCTTCCCCCAGCCACAGCTGTCCCGACATGGGGGTCCACTCTGGATGGTCACACAGTGGCTGAGCCCCCACCTGCTGGAGAAGCTACGAGGGGGACCTCCACCCTTCACGGGTCAGGTCACTGGCTCCCAAATCTGACCCATCCTCAGAAACACCCAGGGATTGGAGAAAACAAAATTCAGCCACACCCACGGCTGAACAGTGAAGCCTGAGTCCTTCTGGAGTGGAAACCCCAGGATGACACACGTGTCGTGGGGGACAAGGGCCATAGTCCCTGAAACATACACCCGCCAGGTCTATGACATCGCATGGCCCCCACCTTTATAGAAGAGAGTATGTCCCTCTACAGATTAAGGAAACATGGAGTATGAGGACCAGCGGGATGTACAGTGAATGAATGAATGAATGAGTGGACGAATGTTTAATCACAGTAACAATCAAGACCGGCGAAGACCGCGCAGACGAGGACAGTGCCAGAGAGGATGTGGGGTGCACTGCAGGATGAGGAAGTCCAACAGGAAGCCTGGAAAGAGCAAAAGTGCAGGAATGGAAATGTGCTGTGACGAGAGAGAAGGAAAAGCCGTGTTGCCCACGGAAATGGACCCTGGGAGGAGGAGGCATGTTGGACCGCGGCCAGCCGCTGGCCCTGTTGAGGACAGCCTGCGGCTCGCCTCAAAGCACTGGCCAGGTGGGCTCGGGCGGGTCCTGGGCTTCCTCCTCACAGCTGCAGACACCCCTGTACCCCGAGGGGAGTCTGAGTTGTGCAGACCAAGAGGACCCTGGACTGAGGTCCCAGGACCCCGAGGTCCAAACAAGTGGGCTTTCAAATGCTTTATTCTCAGATGTAGGTATGTGCATTTGATTTTCCTGAGTTGTTTTAACGCAGAACCTTGAAGGAAGGACTCAACTCGTGAGTCAAGAAGGCAGCTGTGCCCAGCTCCCGGAGGGGCCAGCAGTGGGAGCTGGTGCGGGTGGCTAGGCCTGCCCAGGGCGTGGGGAGCAGTCAGCTAGGGCACTGCTCTTAGAGCACTGCATGTTTTGTCTTTTTAAAGTTAATTAATTAGGATGCCTGGGTGGCTCAGTTGGTTAAGTGTCTGCCTTCGGCTCAGGGTCCTGGGGTTGAGCCCCGCATCGGGCTCCCTGCTCAGCGGGAAGCCTGCTTCTCCCTCTCTCTCTGTCTGCTGCTCTTTCTCTCGCTGTCAAGTAAATAAATAAAATCTTTAAAATAAAATAAAATAATTTAATTAGAGAGTTTAATTACTCAATTTGAGAGAGCGAGCATGAGCAAGCCGAAGGGCAGAGGGAGAGACTCACAAGCGGACTCCCTGCTGAGCGAGGAGCCTGATGGCGGGGCTCGATCCCAGGACCCTGAGACCATGCTCTGAGCTGAAATCAAGAGTCAGCCCCTCAGCCAACTGAGCCAACCTTAATTTGTCTTAGTGAAGCAAAGGCCCAATGGGGAGAAGGGTGAAAGGTGAGGGGAAAAGCTGCACAGTCAAGTGGCTCAGAAGCGGCGAGCACCACCCAGGTCTGGGCTGAGGAGGACGAGGAGCTTGGGACACCCTCTTGTGCAGAAAATAAGGGTGTGCCAGCAAGACCAAAGATACCAGAGCCAGGCCCGAGCGCTCCCACAGATCAAGTATGAGACACGATGCACGTGAAGAGAAAAATGACACATTGATCTTAAAAGCAGCAGTGCTCCCTTCCCTGAGAGAGAGCGGGGGCAGAAGCCCGCTGGCCCCCCCTCCCTGGCTCAGAAATCAGTTCTCACTTAGTACGTAAAGGAAAACAGCGAAGCTTTTAGCCTGCCTTTTTGGAAGACCGTGGAGCTGGGCCCCCTTGACCAGCCGATGAGGAAAACTGCTTTACAGAAGAGTGCCAGCCACTAAGTAGCGGGGGGATCTGAAGTCACCCCACAACCGTGTGAAAGATGGGCTGAGTTATGTGGCGTGAAGGGTGTAGAGTCACCGGCACAGGGTGGGGACCAGGGCTCACGGAGGCCACCCCCCCGACAGATGGATGGGCTCATTATTGAGGGCAAGGTGTTTCCTGAGAACGGCAACATTACCACGCACCCACAGTCACACACATGGGCGGGACTACCTGGCCTCATCTGGGCCTGGAGCACCTGGTCCCCAGCACCACCTGCGGGGGCGTGCTCTGGCCGAACACGCCTCACCCGACCTGAGGCAACCTGTACACCCGACATGCCACGTACGGGAAGTAAAGGGGACAGAGGAACAAGCTAAGGGCCACCTCAAGGACACAATCGGACAGAGGCAGGATGCGGGACATCCTGCAGGAGAATGGCCTGTGCTCTTCCAGAAGAACATGACTTTCAAGAGAAAAGAAGGCGGGGGCTGGTAAAGCACACTGCGCAGGTTTACACAACCAAAGAGGAAGCTTCTACTGGGTGCAGGTCAAGACCCAACCTTGACTGGATCAGGGTTGAAAAAGACAGCTGAGTGGCATCCTGGGGCACGGGGACAGATGTGACCGTGAGGCGGACACCAGAGGACTGAGAGAACTTTTGGCACGTTTCGGGGCGTCTGACGGTGCGACATGTGGTCAGTGAGACGGCCTCATGCTTAGGAGACGCTGAAGGTTCACAGCATCTAAGACTCTCTCACACGGTTGTGCAAAGAGACGATCCGCATAGAAAAGAAACACGGCTGCGCGTTAACTACTGTCGAGCCGAGGTGGGGGCAAGCATTTGTGCTGGACCTTCGTGAATCCGTGGAATTCTTTCAACTATTCTAAGTGTTCTGTACATTGTCGTAACAAAAGGTGGGAAGAAACCGTAGTTGGAGAAACTCTACAGACAAAACCGGAGCTGAGATCGTATGATACCCAGGCCGGTAGAGGACTCCAGCTGGAGAGAAAGGGCGCTGCTGTGCTCTGCAGAACTGGGAGCTGTTTCCGAGCGCGCCGCTCGTTCAAGGACATCGCTACCCTTACCTGGGAGCTCAGGAGAGGGGCTTCATTCCTCTCTCCACGAGACAGCATCGGGGGTCCCCCAGGATTCTCACCCATCCCCCCACGTCCCCCACCCTGGGCTCCTCTCTCATCCCCGAACTTCCCCACCTCCCATCGGCCCACTTGCCCCCGAGCACGAAGGCACTCAGCGCAGAGCCACAGCTCCTCGTTTCCTGGGGCCTGAGACGTGCAGGCTCAGCTTGGTGGGTGGTCCTCCCGTCCCCGAACCTCCAGGTGCTGTCTTCTGAGGAGCAGCCACTCAAGGCAGGTTTGTCGTAGTCCCAGTAAAATGGACCACAGCTCAAGCTGCGGCCCCCCAAGACAACCCCAGAAGAGGGGCGACTCTGGGGGTTTGAATTCCCAGTTGTTTCTGCAATGGATGCGTCTGCGTGGGGACCCTGTGCTTGGGCCGGACACGGGGCAGTGATTCCAGAGCGGGTCTCCCTGGCAGTCCACCACCCGGCCGCTGTGTTCACCGGGTCCATGGGCCAACAGAGGCTTCCGGGTGAGACACCGCCATTTTCCACTGGCCAATGACCCCCGCCCTCAACCCTGAGGAAGAGCTGAAATGGAAACCTCCTCTTCCTTCCTGCAAGACCGAGTCCTTCCATGGCAGGTCCGGGTGCTGGTCTGTCCCTCAGCCCCCATGTTGTTTCTCCGGCCGCATCTGGTCCATCCTGCATTTCCACCCACGCCCGTGGCGCCAAGCCCACAGCCCACGCAGCACAGGGACGGCGTCCACAGTCTCTCACCTGGCGTCGGTACACCTTCCACCGGGTCTGCAGGATCCTGGCTGCCGTGTCTCTTCGCCCCTCGGAGCAGCTGGAGGGGGGCCGGGAGCCCTCCTCGCTTGTATCTGGCTCCCAGTCCTGCTGAGAGGGCCTGCTGGTGGGAAGGGAAGGTCGGGGTTCTTCTGGGGTCTGCAGAAATTCAAGGTGTAAAGGACGGTTAAGGCAGGCAGGGAAGATGGGGAACGGGTCGGGCGGCAGGATGTCCGGGGAATACGGACGGAGCTCATCAGGCTAGACTCTATAATGCGGAGGAGAAATCTGTTGGTTCGGCACGCTGTACGACTAACAACATCCCCGCAGAAACAACGTACCCCTAATAAACAACTGAAGGTCGGTTTTCATCCCCCTCCCATGTCCCTCCCCTGGGAGGACAGCACAGTGACACCACCTGTGGGTCGTGGCCCCTTACTCGCTCGGACATATTTCCCGAGCTCAGGGACATGTGTGTGTTATTGCAAGGTCTACCTGCTTTTTGGGGGTCCTGTGTTTGGTCTTTTAGTCTGAGACTCTGACAGAAACAGGACCTCTGTGATGAAAGGCATTAGATTTCTAGCTGGGTTTTCCCAGTAAAAAGAAGCAAGAATTGCTATTTGACCATTGAAATAACCTCGATTTCTACCATACTCGAGGGCCCAAATTTATTATCTTCAGGGACATTTCTCGATAACAATCAGCACACCAGACTGTCCTCCTCACCACTGGGGACACATGTAGAGGGGGGAGTGCCCTTCAGAAGACCAAAAATGGGGGCGCCTGGGTGGCTCAGTGGGTTTGGCCCAGGTCTCAGGGTCCTGGGATCGAGCCCCGCATTAGGCTCTCTGCTCAGTGGGGAGCCTGCTTCTCCCTCTCTCTCTCTGCCTGCCTCTCTGCCTACTTGTGATAAATAAATAAAATCTAAAAAAAAAAAAAAAAAAGACCAAAAATGTTAAAAACTGTGAAACTGTCCTGGGTCTGGGCCCCCCCGAGCGGATCAATCACTGTCACCAGTCCCTTCTGGTGCACCAGGTACTTCCCGCTGAGATCCCTGGCATCCTACTGGAGAGGCCCGTGTTCTTCCCTAACACACCCCCACATCGCTGCTTCTCTGGAGCGACGTGAAACCTGTCACCACATGGCCCATCCCAGTGTGAGCAAGACAGTCACAGGAGTCACCTAAGATAAAGGAACATGCACTCAAAAACTCTTGGCAAACAGCTAAAAGAATTTTAAACTTTGATGTAGAAACTCCTCGAGGCGACTGTTAGAAACTGCCCCCACCATCACCCCATTTAAACGTACGACTAATGACTCACATCCCAATGCTAAGAACTGAATCCCGCATTTGGAAATGCTTCTCCAGCAGGAAAACACCCAAAGCCTGTTACAATGACATGCGTGCCTGTAGAAAATTCCAACAATGCTAGAAGTAAACCAGTTCCCGGATGCCACCGCTCAGAAGCAGCCACACTTTGGTAATCTGTTCGGACGTTTTCCCAGGTTTAAGTTTTTTCTAACATCAGGGGATCAATGCTATGACCTTCTCTGGAGGACAGGGTCACAGGCGGCTTTCGGAGTCAGCAGATGGAGAACCCGATCTCCCCTGGTGGTGGCTGGACAGTGTTCCCGTGTCCCGCTGTCCCACCAGCAGATGCACCGCTCGCCCACGGGTCTCCTGTCCATGGTGTCTGCACCACAACCGTGGGGCTGCACCTAACATCCTTGTTCCTATAGCTGTGTGGACAGCACGGCTGCCTCCTTCGGCCTAGTCTGTGAATGAACAGTGGGGTCCGAGACCCGCTCCTGCCGTTTGTGGGGACACCAAACCTCCAGGTTGGATACGATGTCCCACTGAGTACTGACTGTAACGCCAATGCCAGGCAAACGGGAAGGTCCTGCGGGAGATGCAGATACAGTGATTAAGGATGTCATCCCTCGAGGAAAAGAATGTTCATCGGGGCTTCCTTTCGACACGGCCAGAGGGCCTCACACTGAGTTAGTGGATCAAGATCCCAAGTTGATGGGATTAGCAGGGACAGCGACATGCTTGTGGTTAGAAGCGGGCCTGGGCCTCAGGGCCTCCGTGACCTCCTGGAGGTCAGCGCGAGGTCTGGAGAGGCGAGGGGCCCGCAGTTGGGGCCACCTTCTTGATGGCGGCTGCACGTCAGTCCCTGGGGTGGACACTGGGCTACTGTGACTCTATCTCTGGAGTGAGCTGAAGAGACAATAGGGGAAACTTCCTTTCCTTTCCATGTGAGTGTCTGTGGGAACCCCCAGCAGTCCTCCCTGCAGAGGACAGGGTCTTCAAGAACCAGAGAAATTAAGATAAGCAGAAGAATCTCCATTGGTTTCTGTCGGGTACCTCCCCGGGAGTCAGGATCACGGACAAGTCACGGGTGGGCAAGTGCTGCTGTTTCAGAGCCCAGGGAGCACCTGTGTGGGAAGAAAGGGGGCCCCACCAGCAACACGGCCCCTGGGGATATGTACGCTCGTCTCTGCCGCACACGTGGCATCCCTGGCCTCCTGGCTGCCCAGCGCCGACAGCAGGTGTGGACCTGCGGGGGAGCATGGGGTCCCCTGGAGAGTGAGGGTCGTGCAGAGTGGCTCGCTTCGGGATGTGGGATGTTCACCAAAGCACTGGAAAACCAGCACGGAAAAGCATCCCACGGGGAACACAACAGTATGCTTTACTGAGCAGCAGAAACAGTTCCCAGAGGATCGGGAAGAACTCACAGCGTTTGTCCCTCACACTTGGCCACCCAGTACCAAGGCCGCACTGCAAACTGGAGGGTGGGAGGCTCCTGCCAGCACATGCCACACCTCTGCCTTCCCTAGCCTCCCGGGGAAGCTGCGGCCCATCTCGATTTGCAGCCAGAGCTGCACTCATCATCTTCTCCAGATCCCGACTTCCAGCTCTTTCCCAGTTTCGAAGCACACGGTGTCCTGCAGTCAAAGGGCCTCCCGGGGGGAGACTCCAGCCAGTAAGCCTCAGAAGCCGGCCCGGATTCCAGCACCGCCCTCAGCAGACTCAGCCCCAGTGACCATCTCCATCAAGTCACTGGCTATAAAACAGGAAGTCGCCTTCCAAAGCAATAGAACGCCTTGGCCAAAGCGTACACCAGGCAAAGCCCCGCCGTCCTGGTGGGCCCCCTGGTGTTACCACGTCTGCAGCAAACAGACAGACAGAGGCTCGTGGAAAGGGACCGCAGACAGGCTGCCATTTGTCCTCTACCATCTCACACACTAACCAGCTCAGCACCAGCTACCCGTGGGAGCGTCCTCTGGGGAAACAGGGCAGCCCCAGGATTGTAATACCTCTGTTGTTTGTGTGAACAGATTACACCCGCCATCTGAGAAAACCCGTCAACTGGAGAAAAGGATTAACACAGAGCCACCAGACGTCCAAGTGCAAGTGGCACGGGGCCCATGGGCACCAGAGGGCTTGAGAGTGGTGCCAGCCAAGCCCCTCACGGCTACAAAGGTCAACTCAGCTGCAGCTGCCTCCACAAGGGGATGGGGACAGGATGGTGGGAGCCCACACTTACCTCTCTCCTTGAACCCGCCATTTACCACACACTCATTCAACACCTGGACGAGCGCACAGCAGCTCAGTGGCAGGCACGGGGGCCCCGCAAAGACACCTCACCATAGCGAGCGCCCTCCCTGCCAGGCTGTGTCAATGTCATAGTTTGAAACTCCCACGAAACACACGAGGCGGGGGGACAGGAGGTCCTCGCTCAGTGTCACTCCTTCTCACCCATGAATGGACACACCCTTGTCAGACAATTAGACTTTCTGCTTATGTCATGTTTGGGGAAGATCTTCACTCGGCTTCACTATCCAAGACTCAAACCCTCATTCAAAAGTCACTTAACTGACAACAGATGGGTTCAGAACCCCGGATTCAACACACACCGTTGATGAAGATAGACAGGCACGATAAAGGGGAACTGGACCGTCAGCGTCAGAGTCAGGACAGCCGAGGACAAACCCCGCAGAACCATCTAGGCCCAGCCAAGAGCCCCGCGGTGCCCACGCAGGAAATCCGAAACCCCGCTGAGCCATACCTCGGGACTCCTCTCCACGGGGTTGTTTCTCTCGTCTCTCCTGATTTCTTCCAGTTCTTGACACTTCTTCGTAAGTGTTTGAATTTCCTCTCTAAAGGAGGAGAAAGATGACATATTACTCATCATCACGCGGTGGCCCACGCCTGTATGAGACGGCAGGGAGGGCCGCCCGCAGGGCTGGCAAGGCCACCCCTCGTGCCATGATGTGGGGCCCCGCTACCAACCCCCTGCCCCTTGGGTGGGATGGGGTCCCCACTGCGGGACTGCACTCTGAGGCCTGTGTCCACAGCTGGGCCTGCAGCCCTGAGAGGGTAGGGCCAGAGGATCCCGGGCCAGCAGCACTTCGGGCATGAGGGAAGAACTGGACAGACCGTGATGGCAGGAGTGACACACAGGAAAGCAGCACTCGGGGTTTTCAGCGCACAGTGTGCATGAACGCAAATACACCTTGCGTCCTCGCTACAGGTCTCAAAGGTGACAGAAGAACGGCTTTTCCCTGTGCACCTGCCCCTTCTGTCTCCTTCAGCCCTGCTTTCTGACAAAACCTAGTCACGGTTCTCCGGAAGATAAATTTTTTTTTTTTAAGATTTTATTTATTTATTTGACAGACAGAGATCACAAGTAGGCAGAGACACAGGCAGAGAGAGAGGGGGAAGCAGGCTCCCTGCTGAGCAGAGAGCCCGATGCGGGGCTCAATCCCAGGACCCTGAGATCATGACCTGAGCCGAAGGCAGAGGCTTAACCCACTGAGCCACCCAGGCACCCCCGGAAGATAAATACTCTTATTCGTTCCAGCAATCTGTGTCTTCCTCAGTATTCTGAGCGCTGAATATTTCCGCTCAGGGTTCGAACTTACTTTTGGGGGCATTTCTCACTGAGGTAAAGCTCGTAGAATGTAAAATTCACTAGAGTAAAATACAGGATGAAATGGGTTTCTGTGTGCTCATGGCGTCGTGCCATTGCCACCAACTCCAGAACTCTCCTGCCACCCTGAAGGAGCCCGGGCCCGTCGGCCACCCCTCCTGCTTCCCTGTCCCACACCTCCTCTCCGAGACTTTGTCTGTGTGTGTCAGGATTGTTTGGTGCGTGGTGCTTCCTGTCTGCTTTCTTCACGCAGCGCGATGTGCGGGAGGCTCGCCCACTACTGTCCCGTGTGTCAGAACATAGTCCTTTCTATCCCTTTATGTGGACGATCTACTGTTTGTTACCTGTGCCTCAGCTGATGGGCTTGGGGCTCTGTCCCCAATTTTGGGGTTTGAGCAATGACCCTGATGGTGCAGGAGGTCCCACCCCAGGAGTCCTGACCCGGGGGGTGTCAGAAAAGGGTGCGTGCAGAGGCAAACCCCGGCCTGATGGGGAAGAGCCCTTTCCCAGAACCAGGACTTTTATTCGGAGGACCTGATCAGGACACGGGGGGCGGGGCACGGGGCGGACCTGGGTTGGGGCCACAGGCAAACTGGTCCAGAAGCTGCAGGGAGGCAAGATGGGAGATGCCTGGAATCCCGTGATCTCCTGACAGCCCGTGAGTCCTGGCACACTCACCTCAGAGCCTCCTCTCTCCCTCGTCTCTCCTCTTCACCTCCCTTCGCACCTTCCAGCTCCTTCCGCAGCTCGGCGTTGGTCTGCAGCAGCTGCTTTACCTCCAACCTGCGTGCACAGAACCACAGAGCTTCAGCGTGCCTGAAAACAGGGGCCACGGTTGCGCTGATAGCCACAGAGCAGGAAGAGCTCTCCGAGAACACCAGCCGCCCGACTTCCTTCCTTATGACAGTCGATGGACCCGGAGGCAGAGGGACAGAGGTGCTCACTGATTAGCCCGCGGAGCCAGGAACACACCCAACAGGCCTGCCACCCCGGCAGTGCTTCTGCCAGATATTTACTGAGCACCTGCTATGTGCCCGCGACGGTTAGGTGCCCGGGATACAGGGGTGACGAGCTGCGACCCCAGACAAGCTGGAATAGTGTGTTATCCCAAGAGTTACACGGTATGTGACCCTGAGATGATTGATCAGAGGGTCTGCCCTGCACTGCACGGGGCTGTTGCCTGAGCCGAGCCCATCGAGAATGGGGGGTGGGGGGGTACCCAGGACCTCCAAACACATTGCTTCCCAACGAGGTATCCCGGGTCCCACAGGTGGCATGTGGCTAAGAACACTGCTCCGAGACAAGACCTCAGTCTGACCTCAGCTCCATAGCTCACTGCCATGTGGCCTAACTATTCAAGGTCCCTGAATCTCCTTATGAATCAGAGGGAACACCCTGAGTGTTCCACAGAACGCCTGTCACAGAGCAAGGGCTCGTTAAGTGTAAGGTTTTATCACGCCAGGTGACAGCCGAAGAGATTATCAGAGACGTTATTTACCTTTCAAAATGACTAGCTCAATTTTTAAAATCCTTCATGAAACACTAATTCTTACAAAGAACCTACCAATTTGCAAAGAGGCATTTGGATTGGAGGAGTAAGAACAGGTGGGGTGTGAAAGAATTTTCCTCTGCTGTAAACAGAAGGCAGCAGAGAGTAGACAAGGAGTCAGCTAGGGAGTCCTTCTGAGACCTAAATGTGCACAGGAATTGCCAGGGGACCTCATTAGACACAGAGTCAGATTCAGGAGATCTAGGTCTGACGAGGTTCTGCATCTCTAACCAGCTCCCATGTGGGAGGAGACAAAATTCTGCATCTCTAACCAGATACCCCTCCATGGGTGAGGCCTAGAGTCTGCGTCTCTAACCAGAGTCCCTGATGGGAAGAGCCTACGAGTTCTATATCTCCAACCAGCTCCCAAGTGGGCGGGGCCTAGGTTCTGCATCTCTCACCAGCTCCCAGGTGATGATGAGGCTACTGGCTTCCCAGGCCATACTCAGAGAGATAAACCCCATCTCAGAAGACATGAATTTGGCTTATTTATGACAGAACTGCGACCAGAGAAGCCACAAGTAAACAGCAGAGGAGACAGACACATTTTCAGTAGGGCTACAGATCAAGACACTAGAGAACAAACCGTGAACAAGCATAATCCGGAGACTTTGCCTCTCAAACTCTCAGGGTCACACCGAACACAGCATTTGTGTCTTATTTGGCGTTTAGACTGGGTATCACAAACATATTACTGACTCTCTAAACCACTCTGCCTATCTACTTTGTACAAATCGATGAAAGTAAATTCTTCTCTAAAAAATAATTTGGAAGTCAGTCTGGAGTTCAGCACAAACAGATTTAAATGATATCTCCCCTTCTTTCAGTGACATAATATGGTCAATTAATGTCTTCTTTTTACCACTAAAGTCACTTCTACTTCATAAGCAAAATATAGGAAGTTTCTGAATCATATAAGACTATAGCAGCAACTACGACGAGGAGCTGAGCCTTTCCCCTGAGTTCTCCAGAAGGGCTGGACTCTAGCCACAAGCCCACCCCTCCCAGGGCCGCGGGGTGCCGGCCGTACCCCACAACCTACTCTTTCTCCTGCAGCTGCATCTGTAGGGCGTTCCGCTCGCTCTTCAGGCTCCGCATGGCCCCCCGGAGACGCTCGCTGTCCTCCTGCCGGTCACCTCGAGGCTGCCGGGGCACAGCAGAGCTGGACGCAGAGGGCACCACGGCGTTTGAGTTGACCACTTCGGAAGTGTGGGACTTGGGGCTTTCCATCGAACTTATTATCTAGAGGCAACACAGGCATTTTTTTAAGATATTCTTTCTCATTTTACTTTGTGGTTATGAAACCCAAGGAAGAGACGAGGGAAACTCAAGCACAGCTATGGGACCGCGTGTGACCTCACAACCCCAGGACAGCTCCACCTTGTGGGAGCCTGTTGGAAGGGGAGCCCGTCGGGGAAGTAAAGGGCACCCGGCCAGCAGAGACCAGCCTGGGGCGGGCAGGGGGCAAGACGCCATTCATAAAACAGAACACGGGCACAGGAGGCGAATTCATAAGCTTCTTTTCTTTGTGCTCATTTACCCTAGTGTTTCTTTAGGATTTCTGGGACTTTCAATCTCTGTGCTTTCATCCTGAGTGATAGCCCAGCGGTGCCAGCGGAGAGCTACGGAGCCCTGCAGCCTGCCTGACGCCAGCCCGTCTCAGTCTCAGGCGAGAAAGCGCCATCCCGCAGCACGTCTGAGCCACCTCCGGCTGACTCTGTTCCCAGGGAGCTTTGTTTTCAAAATACCCACAATATATAGAAACAGCTTGGGTTTTGCTGCTGTGTAAATATGCAGAACTGTTTTGTTAAGTGCTTCCCTCTAGGTTTACTCTGCTTGGCCCAACAAGTGGGCAGCCCTCACAATTTTGCCAGGCTACTCAGAAGAAGCTGAAACTTCGGGCCAGCTCCAGTAGAATCTGGCTGATTACTGACCGGAGGAGTGAGATCAATTTTGCAAATTCAAATCTCCCCAGTTTTCTGGTGGATGGACAGTTTCCTGAGGACTCAGACACACAGGCTGGTGGGTGAGCGGCCATGGAAACCCACACGCACTTGTCAGGCTGGGTCTCCTATCACCTGCCTCTGTCCCCGGTCACACACACAGTCTGAAACCATGTGCCACGTGACCATGGCATTGCCCCCTGTGACACCAGGGACGGGAGAGGCACAAGGCATGGGTCTCATCCAGACCTTCGAGAAGCCTGCCCTGGGCGCCATCCGTAGACCACCACCGTGCATTCACACGTTCACTCCAAGTGTCCTGTGAGCAAAGGTCTCCTCTGTGTCCCCACTTTATAAGCTGCCTGGCTCCTCCTTGAGCATGGGCAGGTCCGAAAGGGTAGGAGGTGAGCTGAGAGGCGCACCACTCACTTTTTCCAGCTCTGCAATCCGTCTCAGCAGCCGGGGCTTACTCCATTCCACATAACCTGACGGAAGCAATGGTTTTAAGAGACAGACCTCACACAACCATCCCGATGGCCCTTTCAGCCCGGGCCACCCGTCTCAAGCACGGCCTGCGAGTTTCCCCTTCCACAGCCAGCTGCAAAGCCGGGAGACCCCCACCCGGCAGATGCTTATAAGCCAAAAGGTGCCTTCCTGGGAAGGATTCTGTCCCCCACACTGCGGCGCTGTCCCTCGTGGGCCATCCAGTCCTGATTCTACCCGTCAGGCTTGGCCCCATCTGTCCAAGACAGTCCTTCTCAAGGTCACACGAGTCCGCTTTGCCCGATCCTCTACACCGCTCCCTCCTTGCAGCATTTCCTTCCGTGGTGCTCCTAGCTCTGCTGGCCATCTCGCCAGCCACTGGCAACCATGCTTGGGCTCACCCTCACCTCGCCCTCTGCATACTGCTGAGTATGTTGGTGGCTGCACCCGGGGCCTGCCTCAGCTCCACTCACTCTCCGGTGCTCTGAATCCCACCCAGGTCCTCTGCTGGCTGGGGACCACCTGCCGAAGCCTCCACCCTGAATCAGTGATAAGTCCTGTCCCCACCTGGACAGCTAGTCCATGCAACAGACTGGACTCATTCCCTTTCCCCGTGGCCGCCCCTTCTGTCACCTCCACCTCAGTAAAGGACACCATCCTTTCGGGCACTCAGATAAAAGCCCTGGAGACTGGCTCCTCCCTTCCCTCAGAGGCTGCACCAGATCTCCCAAAGGCATCCGGAACCTACCCACCTCTCACCCCCCAAGGTGCCACCCTGCTCCGGGTTGCCAGCAGCTCCTGCGAGGACACCGCAGAAGCCCCGTCTCCCTACAGTCCACTCAGCACAGAAGCTGGTCTTCTCCCCTCAGCCCAAACCCCAGGGGCCTGGGCCTGGACTCCACAGCCCTGTCCTGCATCCAACCCCATGCCCTGTCTCATTGCCACCAGCCTTCCACTGCTGCCACATGCTGGGCACGCTGGTTCTGGGCCTGGCTGTCCCTCGCCTGTCCCAGTTCTGGCAGATGTCACTGTCCCTGAAGCCCCTATCCATAGTTGCACACCACCTTGCTACCACCTGACCTGTGACTGACGGGTTGGCCTCTCGACCCCCTCCAGTGAGTACGATGCTGCCCCCACAAGGGACATCTGTTTTCATTCCCTACTCAACGCCGCTTCCTAGAAGGGCTCCTGGCATACAGCAGGCGCTCGTTACATTGGGAAATAATCTCAGTGTTGCCTGGCAGTGCGCGTCTGCATTTGTGGCAGCTGAACTAGGGCCTCAGGGACACGACGGGTGGCCCAGGACGCTCCCACGGCCTCTGCCCGCCTCTTCCTTCCAAGAACCGGCCACGAGTCCTCTCCTCCAGCGTCCCTCTGCAGGTGGCTCTGGGGACCATACCCTTCGCGGTGGAGACGGTGGGGGAGTTGCTCAGCACGCGGTCCAGATCTTCCTTCAGGCTCTGGTTCTCTTCCGTGAGCTCCTGGACACTCCGGGACAAGCTCAGGAGGGCGCTGCTCACTTTTTTCTGCCTTTTGAGGCCCATTTTCTTCTCCCCGGGAGGCCTGGGAATAACAAAGCCAAGGGCTATGTTTGAGCTCCTAAAGTGGCTTTATAAATGCCTGAACAGAGGGGTGGGCACATGACAGCCTGTCCCTGCCTCAGAGTGGGCTCTGCTGGTGTTTGCTGTGGAACAGGGAACACGGACTTTGAGCCCCAAGGAAGCAAACTGCTAGCCCCCAAACTGAATCCCATTCTCATTTGTAAATCTGCATAACAAAATACTGTATTCGATACTAGTGATCTGTTTTAAATTGCATCACTAAAGACTGTGTGGGAACTTGCTTTCCGTCCGTTTTGTTACATAGATCCCTGTTTAATGATTCTGCCCCTTATCCCGCGAAGTCCAACATAACAGCCAATCCTCACTGTTCCGTTTCTGCATTTGCAAACTCGGCTACTGGCTAAAATTTATTTGTAAGCCCTGAATCGATTCTTGGGGTGCCTTCGCGGTTGCTCAGGGACACGGGCAGTGGGCGGAAAGCCCTACGGGCGAGCTCCTGGCGGGGGTGGGGTAGGATGGGGGTGGGGACCTGGCCTTCCCCGCGGTCCCCACGCGCTCCACCAGCGGTACCTCCACCATCCGCTGAGTGCTCTCCCCGCGTTTGTGCTGTGACTGGTGATCTCATGGTTTAAAACCACCCTCTCTGCCAGCACAACGCTCAGGGGCTATCCGGTGTTCCTAATCGCGAGAAAGCACGTGTGTGTGTGTGTGTGTGTGTGTGTGCGCGCGCGTATGTGCGATGCCGCTCTGGGAATCCAGTATTTACTAAATAAACCATCTCTAAACAGAAACACACACAGAAACAGGGCTGGTGACGATGCCGTGACCCGAGGCTCTAGGAACCTACTCTGCACGCCTGACCCGGGAAGCGAGAGCTCAGTATTCAAGCAGGTCCGTGTTGGCGGACACTTGGCAGAACAAACCTGCTGCGGACAGCAAGAATCAACTGTCCTTTACGGAAAAAGCTCTCCAACCCCAGAAGGGGACTAGGGAAGCTGTGCCTGGCACAGGGTGAAAGTTCGATACTCGTTCGCAGCTCAGTGCTGAGGCTGGTGACATGGCCAAATCTGTGATAAGGGAATCTTTGAGATACGGAAATCCCGATGTCTCTCCTAAGAAACTCCTTTGGGGAAGTGAACTTGTATTCTTTGTACTTGGTATTAAAGGTTCTGGACAAGGAAGGCCTGCTTTCGACAACAGTGTTAGCTGCGTGCGGAAACCGTTCTGTAGCAGGAGCTAGGGACTGGGCGCGTGGAGAGGTGAACGTGCTGTTAGTAGCCAGCACGTGGCCACTAGGAGGGGACATGGGTAACAGTCCCAAGCGGAAACACGTCCACTCGAGCCACTAACACACCACACAGGTGCGGGCTCCAAAGAGGAGGGCACTGCGGGCTCCCACATGATGTCTGTGTTACTCCTAGGACCAAACACAAAACACGGCTCCCGCGGACATGATCGTACTTCCTTCCTATGGTTTCGGAGCTTGCCAAGAGGGTCTGGAGACGGTGGATCTGTAAATGCCAAATTAAAATATATCACGATACTAAACGAGCATGTAGACCTTCCCCTGAAAACAAGCTGAAACCAGATCCCTGATTTCCGCCTAGTAGCTGGAAGTAACACTGAGTTGCTGGGAATCACGTGCAAGCGAAGGGTCCCTGGGTACAACGAACGGGACAACCCCTGCCCCACCCCAGAGAAGGCCACGCACCTCCTCGTAGTAAGTCTCCATGGCAATCCTCATCTCTTCCAAATTAGTGGTCTTCATATCAGTCTGCAGCTTGCTAGAAACCCAAGTTCAGAGTTAGCGCGGCAGTGCCGACACCCCCAGGGGCAGACCAAGGGCAAGAGCACTTCGGGGAACGTCAGCCGAGGATGGCTTTGTGAGAGAGGCGGGCTGGGTGGGGAGCCTCACAGACTCGCATCGAGACCCACGGGAGGATTCTCACCCCCTCAGGACCCCCTCCATGTTGGACCCGCCACCTCCAGGTGCGGTAACAGACTCTCTAAAGCTATTCCTTCCTCAGCAGGAGGCCTCTGGGTAGAGACGAAGTGACTGTGAAGGACCTAGTCTTGGGCTGAGAACAGCTGCCTCGGGGGGGGTGGGGGAAGAGTGCTTTGTAAGGAAGGAGCATCACTTCCCTCCCGCAGCACCAGCCCCTCCTCCCCCCCGCCCCCCCGCAGCCCACAGACAGAAAAAAAGCTCCAGCAGACAAATGAAAGTATAGTTAGAGTTCAGGATTCTGCAACAGGAGAAATCAGCAACTAATCCAAACGTTCACAGTTGACAATTTCAGCAAGAAACACTGGGGGGGGGGCTGTTGTACACAGGGGAGACCGGGGCAACAGAGGACTCCCCTCTGTGTTGTATTACAGCATGTGCAGCCACCCCCAAGCAGCACCAGGGCGTTACGGGAATGGGCCGGCGGCCGGCGTCCCAGCACCGAGGGCTGGCATCGAGACCACAGACCCAGAGCACACCATCAAGCTGTCCACAGAAGACCGAGGAGAGAAAGCAGTTCCCAAATGCACCAGGGACAGGAAAAGAGATGAAGGGATGGACCCATTCCCAGTGACATTTGGAAGAGGTGGCTAATACCTTCATCTTTTGGTGCAGAGAAGAAGCTGGGATAAGGGACATAGGACAGAGGGTGGCAGGGTGGGGGACTGAAGCTGCGGTCTGGGCAGACAAAGCAAACCCTGGTACGGGAGACGAGGCAAGGTGAAGGGCACATGTGCTGGCTCCAGCCAGCCTTCGGTGTGGCGAGGCCTCGGTGACCCTCCAGAGCCCGCCACCCCCGGCCACCCACCAGTGTGTCCGTACTTGATCGTGTTGTCCTTCTCCTTGCACTGCTGCTCCAGCTTGAGAATCCTCTGCTTTAGCCCGTTAACGACCTGCCGATTGAAGACCAGCACATCAAGTTGACGGCTTCCATGTCTGTGATCTCCCCCTCCCGCTAGACACTCAGACTGCCCTGTCCCCAGGCTGCCAGCTGACCTGGCAGCATCCGGACACCCTCTCCCCCTTGATCACTGCCTTCTTTTGTAGTGTCTAGGTGCAGCAAAGAGAGGGCCGGCTGTCCCACGGGCTCTGGGTGTGGTGGCGAAGGCAGGGCAGGGCTGGGGGATGTGCCTTCAGGTGCAGAGCCCTCCCCTTGGCCGCATTCCACATTTCCGAGAATTGACGGGATGGTCTGCACTTTGGAGGAAGCCACTGCCAGCACTAGACACAAAGATCCCATCCTGACCTGTCCTGGGCAACTGTGTCCGCACTTGGAAGTGAGCCTCTGCTGGACAGCGTTCCCCTCCCCTCCCCCCGCCCCCGCGCTTCCCTCTGGGGAATGAAAGACCTCCTCGTCCACCTCATTCTTTCCTTCTCTCTATTAACATGTCACTCTGGGAGATAGCACCCTTATGTTTCTGGAAGACTATCCCCTTCTTTCTTCTTGAACCATCAAACAACTCTTTAATTGGATTTTGAGCTGATTTTACATTATATTAGTAATACATGAATGCATCTTCTTATAAAAAAATTAAAACACTATAGAGGGAACTATCCTCCTTGACCTTAACCCTCTCAACTAAATATTGTCCTCCACTGAATGTGAGTTCTCTAGACCTCATTATATGGATGTGTACCCCTCGACAGGAAGACGTTCTGCTGTGTTTGTGGAAACGGCACCCTACCGCACACAGTCTGCAACTTGTCATTTTCCCACCATGAATGGTCTTGGTGTCTACCCGTCTTGTGCCTACAGATCTCGGTGATTCTTAAACAGTGTGATCATGTGGTGTAGACATCCATCCCTCCACTGATGGATATTTAAGCTGTTAATACAAACAAGCCTTCAGTAGATATCCAGCCCTCCTCATGCACATGTGCAAATGTTTCTTGAGAGGAGACGGTGACCAGCACAGTGTCCAATTACAAGACGCAGTGACTCTGAAGGGCAATTTGGCAGTGGATATGAAAGTGGAAACAGTACATTCCTGAGGATCTAGAATTTCTACCTTTTTTTTTTTTTAAAGACTTTATTTATTTATTTTACGGAGAGAGGCAAGGAAAGTGGGAACACAAGCAAGGGGAGCGTGAGAGGGAGAAGCAGGCTTCCCGCCCAGCAGGGAACCTGATCTGGGGCTCAATCCCAGGAGCCTGGGACCACAACCCGAGCCAAAGGCAGACGTCCAACAACTGAGCCACCCAGATGCCCCTAGAATTTCTACTTTTAATCAACTTTAATAATTAAAAAAAAGGGGGGCACCTGGGTGGCTCAGTGGGTTAAGCCTCTGCCTTCGGCTCAGGTCATGGTCTCAGGGTTCTGGGATCAAGTCCCGCATTGGGCTCTCTGCTCGGCAGGGAGCTTGCTTCCCTTCCTCTCTCTCTGCCTGCCTCTCTGCCTACTTGGGATCTCTCTCTCTCTGTCAAATAAATACATAACATCTTTAAAAGATATTTTTTTTCTGAAAATGTTTTATTGTGGCATTATTCTGATTTTAATGGTTTCTGGTTTAATGGGCAACTATAAATATCCTTACATGAAAGTCTTTATGTTTTTTTTTTGTTTTTTTCCTGCAGACACAGCCCAAAAGAGAGCAACCCTGGACAAATGGCAGGCATGACTTCACAGACCATTCTCAGCTCAGTCCTGCCAACGGAAAACGCAGTGTCCATCTCGGAGCATGCCTGCGCGGTCTCAGTCCTGCTGACACTGGTTCCAATAATCTTACTCGTGGTAGTTGGAGCAAACGTCCTCACTCAAGTACGCACCGCGGGGTAGCAGTGGGGACCCAGGCAGACGCTGCTGGCTGCGCGGGGCCCGCGGATTCACTACGAACCTGATCTGGGCCAATCTCTTAACCTCAGTTTCAGGATTTAAAAAAAATGGGGACTGGGTCCCTATCACAAAAAAATCCACTGAGATTACATACGACCATACAAGATCTAGGAGCTGCTGCTCACTTAAGAATGATTTTCTTGTGGAAACACCGGTGTCTGTTCTAGGCCCTGAGAGCATTTCCTCCGTGCTGTCCTCGGGGCAGAGCCAGGCTTCAACCACTCACGCAGGGCCGGCTGCTTGCTCTCCGTCCGGGCCAGCACTGGCCCTCTGTGTGCTCAGGGCAGATTCTTACCCGCCCCGCTCCCCTTCCTACTGATCCAGCTCCTGCTGTCGTCTCGGGGAGGGGGGGTGGCTGTTACAAATTTTAGGTCACCAAACCCGATAATCACCTCACTAATGTTACTGAACTCCCTGTGTTCAGTAATCTCAGAATTGTCTCCCTTCCAGTTTCCTTTCCGCGTTTTGCCTTTCTAAGAAAAGCGTGCTCCCCTGACTCAGGAGTTATGGGGATGCGGCTCTGTCCACCTGTGGTGGCTTCCCACCACGGCACTGGTCACAGAACGACACTGCTGCCCATCACCTCGCTCCACTCTGTCCGCTGCGGGCTGTACACCCCATGGCCGCGGTGGCATGTGTGCCGTAAGGGTTTAGTCTGTTCCCACTTAGTTGCCGTGTTCACTCAGTGTCACTACTCGAGCCCGATGTGTGTGTCTCAGGTACGGCAGGGATGCCCCCACGGTGACCGCGGTTCCTCCAATGGCCCTTCCGCCCCACGCAGAGCCCGCTCAGCCTCCCCTCGCATCCCCGGATAGCATCCACAGTGCTCCGGCTCCATGGAGGCTGGTTTAGGGAATTCTGAGCCCTCACGCTCTGTCACTCCTCTCGTGCGACTGCGTGAGAGGAAAGGCAGCCCTCCCCCGTGGGGCGATTTCAAATTCAGATTTCAGCGGGAAGGTCATCTGTCCCACGGGCCATCGTACTCACCCAGCCAGTATCAGGCCTTTTCTCTGCCAGAGTCCGAACAAAATCAGGGCCCTGCAGTAAGCAGACGGAGAGATGAGGATACGGGTGGCGCGGCCTCTCCCCCTGACGGCCTGAGGCGTGGAGCCAGTGCCTTCCCAGTCCAAGGCCGGGCGCTGCCACACGGGGTCACCACTTACTCGGGAGGGGTCCAAAAGCTGCTCTATCTGCCGGTCCTTTCTGCTATTTTCCTCTTCTAGGCGCCGAAGCTTTGTTCTCATGAGATCCACATCACTTTTCTGCATGTGCAGTGACTAAAGGGAGACAGAACCACACACACATACACTCCTGCACACACATGTGCACACGAACGGCCCAGTCAAACGCCCGTCGGAGCAGATCTTGCAAAGCGGCCCCGTGCCCAGTCAGGGTGCTGTGTGTGTCGCAGAGGGGAAGGATGGCTGAATGTCATGGCAAGGGCCCTATGTCTGTCACAGTGTGTGTCGCTAAAACTCGTCAAAGGCTAACTACCATCTTAACACCCTTGTCCTCTGCTGGGGCTCTGGGGGTCAGAGCAAAGGCCCCACAGGTTTTCACCAATCTGGGGTGAACTGAGGAGAAAAGACCATGCAGCCCATTTCCCGCTAAACTTAGTTGATTTGATCCCACAGCTGCCGTGTACTTGGAATTCTCTCCCGCTTCCTACTCGGGACTTACATCACCCTTTTAGGAAACGGCAATGGCAGGGTATTTCTCAGTTTTGTCTTCCATGTCCTCACTGAAAAAGCTCTCTCCCAGGCCATGGAACACCAGAGCCCAGAGAGTGTGAGGTCTGGTGGCACTCACAAGCCACAACGGGCAGTGCCCACGCCGTCAGCCAGTGCAGTCAACCAGCTGCCAGCATCGGCCCGCAGCCGAACTGGCCAGCTCTCCTGGGAACACCCTTCTCTGTTCCAGGCACTCATGGTGTGCAGGAAGGGGGACAGTGTCTGAACAAAACCACCACCGGCCAGCCACTCAAAGCATGCACCCATGGAGGGAGGCTTGGCAGGTCGGCCACATGCCTGCGGTAGGCCAGTAGTGCTCTGGGGCATGAGAGGTCGCTGGCACTCGGTGAGGGTTTAAGTCAGTTCATACACAGCCATTGAAAAGGAGAAGAAATCATATCACGGGAATTCTGCTTCTGGAAATAGGGGGTACATTCGCTGTTCCCTCCTGCTTTGTACCCTGAGAAACCTTGGACAGTGTATAGGAGGCAAACATGAGGAGGCTCAGAAGGGTGGGGAGAAGAAGCAGACTAGTTCAGGACCCAGGAGATGACCGCAGAGTCCCCCCTTATGCCACATACTCACTCACTGGAGTATGGGGGAAAGGCAAAGCCCAGACGAGCCCAAGGGCACAGACAGGAGAGCCTCCTCTCCCCAGCAGGAAAGGGCACCTCACCAGGCAGAAAACTTATGGACAATAATGGCTCCACCTCCGGCAGATCCTGCAGAACGGAGTGTGGCCCATCCCTGTCAGTGACAGCTAAGTGCGGAGCCCAGCCCCGACTCCTGCCACCCCCGCCACCCCCGCCAGGCTGTAGCAAGGCTTCCTGCCCCCTCCTTGCTGGGGGAGGGGGTGGTCAGAGGAGGAGTGGGGGAGGGTCAGGACTTCCCTGTCCAGGGGTAATGAGGCCACACACACACACACACGCACGCGGGCGCATGCAAAACAAAATGCGAGACTTAAATCCTAACATACCAAAGATTACATTAAATGTAAGTGATCTAAACAAACCACCCAGAAGACAGAAACAGGCAAAGTAGACCAAGACCAACCATATGTTGTCTACAAGAAGCTGATTTTAACATGGCAAGAAAGGAGGTGGAAGTAGAAGGATGGAAAGAGAGATACCACTGAAACATTAACCAAAGAAAGCAGGAGTGGGTCCGTTAATGCCAGTCAAAGCAGACATCAGAGAGCAGAGACGGATGTCATGTAGCGACTATCAGGTTCAATGGGACACAATGACCCTAAAGGCACACACACCCAACAAGTGACAAGACTGGAGGGGAAGCCATACCCACGAGCACAGTGTGGCCTTCAACACCCTTCCCTGAGTGAAGAGGAAGCAGCTGCACAGAAAGCCAGCAGTGGTGCCAGGAAGCGCACCAGGCACACCACAGGGGCTGGCAACCCGCACACCACACCCTGCCTGCCAGCAGCGTGCACGCCCTCTTCCCAGGCCCATGGCATAGATGCGAGAACGGGCACTCCCTGGGCCACGTGGCCGACCTGGACACACTTACAAGAAACAAAACTACATGGGGTGAGTTCTGTGGCTGCAACGAGTCCACTACAAGTCAGCAACAAAAACAACATGAAAATCTCTAAACTCTCAGACACTCAACGACATAAATCCAAATAATCGTGGGCCAAAGGGTCTTCAGGGAATTAGCACAACAGAAAAGTACAACAATAGCAAACTTGGCAGGACACAGCTGGACCAGGGCTGAGCGGAAGGAGCCATGGTACAGGCCACTCTGGAAGGTTCCTAGGGCAGGACGCTCAGTGGAAACTGCCAGTCTTCAGGGGTCCTGTACAGTGTGATTCCATGTACAGAGCATCATCAGGACATCAAGATTATAGCGATGGGGAGAAGTCATGGTCACCGGGAGTTAGGAATGGTAAGTGAGGAGGGAGACAGGTATGACCACAAAGGGACAGCTCAGGGGACAGCCTGGGGCAGCATGTGTGCTGACAGTATGGCAGGTACATGACCACACACATGTGGCAACATGGCATGGAACTGGACACGCACATGGCGCCCATGTCCATGTCCTGGTTTTGATACCGTGCTGATGGGTGGGGAAGACCAGTGCAGGGTCAGGGGACTCTCCGTGCCACCTCTGCCACTGCTTGGGACAGTCTACACCCTGGCTCCTTGCTGAGTGTCAGGCTCCCTGGGGTGGTCTACACCACCAGCCCCTCGCTGAGTGTCGGGCTCCCTGGGGTGGTCTATACCACCAGCCCCTTGCTGAGTGTCGGGCTCCCTGGGGTGGTCTACACCGCCAGCCCCTCGCTGAGTGTCGGGCTCCCTGGGGCGGTCTACACCGCCGGCCTCT